TCATTTCTCCGTTTGGACTGTTACTCCTGCCCTCAGCACTTGCTGCAATGATTTAGTCTACTAAACTCTGGGGCAAAATCTACAAGGTGGATATATGCTAGAGAATAATAATGCAAACCCAAGTATATTCTGGTACTATTCTTGTCATATCTAGTAAGGCGTGCCTATTAGACGACATTTTTTAAAGCAACATAAAATTTAAGCAGTCTATCATCCTTAAACAATCCACAACTATATTTTTACAATATTTATTTCCACTAATACAGCTTTTACCTGTAATGAAAAGGAAACAAACTGTAAAAATATAAATCAATGTTATAGGTTGAACCATTACATCAGTAACCTAGTATTTATACTAAGACAATAACTCTGCACAGCTCAGACCTTATTGTAGGACATTAGGATCTACTGAAAAATAAAATTCCTATGTCACTGCCAAGTTTGCTGGTGTCCTTGGCCAAAGGTTCCTAAACATGAGGCCATGACAGATAGTTTGCAGCTGGTATTTGGAGTTATACACATGACCTGTAAAAAGGTTCAAGCATTGAGGGTAGTTCACTGTTCCAAAAATTAGTGATCCACTTTCCTGAGCAAGCTGCTTCATTTTGCCACACATAGTACCGTGGCTTCTCTTAGATGCCTCTGAAGAGGCAGCTTTTAGGTAATCTCTCTGCTGTATGAGCTTTACTGGTGTGGTAGCAATGAAAGGCCTAGAGGATGTCCTGCACAGACATGGTCAAAAGCTGAGAAGCAGTTTAGTGCGAAGTGCATAATTTTCAAGGTTGCTAATAGCAGGAAGTAAACCTATTGTAAACACAAATGTACTTGTATTCTTTTTAGTAAAAATATTGATAATTATTTGGACACAGAATGTCATGTTTTGACAATTTAAACAAAAATTTTTTTCTGAATGAAAGAAAGTGAGCCAGGTCTGGTACTCAAGGCTTGATCAATGTGACAGACAAAATGCAGATGTCTTGTCTAATTTGGCACTCCTGGTAACGCTAGCTCTGTTTATCTACCTACACTCACAGCGGGATATGATTCCCAAGAACTGCAAGCAGAATCAAGGACTCAGCATGAACACGTTACCCTATCTTGAACTCTAATATTCTTTATAAGGATTCATAAGCCCTGTCAGTGGTAGACTTGAGATATCTTCCTGCCCTCTCTTCATTGCCAGGAGGGTACTGCACACAAAGGAGAAGTAGTCACCTGAAAACTGTTCTAAAAGTCAAGGACCTTGTAGATCAGTTATTCTAGAATGTGGTTACAATTAAAAATTAAATTAAAATTAAATTAAAAACTGCAATTAAAAATGCAGTACAGTTCCATTTTTCACCAAAGGGTCCCTGTCGTCTTACCAGGCATAATGGTCTTCTGGCAGTGGAAACACTTAGATGAATACTCATCAGAGTAGCATCCAGTACACAGCAAGAGCTCATCCTTGGCAGCAAAGGGTTTCTCCACCAGCGAGCGACTGCATTTGGCACACTTGAAGCACCCCTCGTGCCAGTGGCGGCCTTTGTAGGCCAGATCCTTGGAGAAAGTAAAGCCATGTTAATGGAGACATATTTTTACAGTGTTTTTATCCCTCAGCTCCTCCCAGAAATAAAGTGGAAAATGGAGAGCATTTCAATGGTGACTTGAAGTGATGATGTGTGCATCTGGCAGGAGGTGTGCTCAGAGGTGATATAAGTACTCAAGGTTACAGTGTTGGGATATTTTGTAGATCTTCTGCAGAGGCCATTAGGAGCTGCTTTGGCACAGGCAATAGTCCTTCCTTATGTAACATCAGAAATATGTTTTTATTGGAAGAACCTTTTTATATTTTACAGTTGGCCTTCAAGGGGAAGTAAGTGATCAACATTTTTAACGTGCGCAGGCCACCTGAAAAGAAATGCATTCTCCACAGACTTTGAAATGAACTTAATGTATTTTTTAATGTTACTTTTTCTTCCAGCTGACACTACTTAGCACTAAAGAAATATCACATTATTGCAGAAAACAAGCAATTAAAATATAATTGAGAACAAAATGATTCTTAGGAAGTTTATTAAAAAAATCATTGCTATTGTTTACACCTAATATAACTCCTCCTAAAATCTTGGCAGAAAAAATGTTTGTTTAAGACTCAGCAGGCTTAGGGGTTGAAAAAGCTAACAGCATATGTATGAGAACTCCACTAAGAATTCAAAAAAAGAGCAAAAAGCAGCCTTTTTTTGTTCCAAGGTTAAAAAAAACAAGGGAAAAATGCACCACCAAAAAACCCCACCCACCTTAAAAAATAAACCAGATCCTTCCAGCTCTCCATATAAGTAAGTGGCACAAAAGGACACCAATCCAATCTCATTTTTCTCCTTTGTCAGTTTGCCACCATTTAAAATGTTAAAAGTGAAATACATACCATGCCTCATATCAGGAGGTGCTGAGTGCTCACCACTTTCATTTGCTTTAGTTAACACCTTGAACCTTTTAGAAAATAGGCTGTCACTCCAGAGTAGCCTGAGGCAAAGACTGGGTAAGACGGAGAGGAAGAGAGTCAAGCTCTAGTACTTTGGCTGAGATAGGACAACCAGATGTAAATCTCTGCAAGCCACTTTTCTAGCTGGCTCCAGCCTGTTGCACTCCGTTCTTGTTACTCCTCCTTCTTTTCCTTCCAATTTTTTTCTTCCATTCAGTCCAAAGACATAATTTTTGTTAATGAGCTTTGACATCAGCGGTCCTGCCACTTACTTAATTTTAAATTTTAAAAGTGTAATTAGTGAGCTCAAAGCACATGTTCTCCAGGTGGCTCTGACTGGAACTACATATACAAGTTTGCTGCCAAAAAATGCTGAGAGTTTGAGAATAGTCTTATCCAAATCAGCAATATCCTTGGATGATTCCTTTACAATTCTGAGCTCTACTTAAACAATGTGCTTTGAAAACCATGAAGTGCTTTGCCTGGAGAGGCCTCCTGAGTGGCTTGTTTTAATAACTTTATGACCTTTTGTTTCAAAAGAACATAGGCAAAGTGAGCATGGGGAGAAGGTGAGCACTACATACTGAACTTGGCAAAAAAAAGGCATTTTGACAGGTTTCATCTGAACTTGACATACAAAGTCAAGAGTACAGGCTGTAAATTGAAGTATGGAGTACTGTAAACCCTGTCAAAGACCACAGAAGAACTCATATTATTAATTAATATTCTAAAGATTGATAGAGGTGAAAGGAAAGTCAATCCCAGAAACACTGCCACTAACGTGCCATCTGTGAGATGAGCAAGGTAAGTCAAAATTAAAATATACTTCATCTCCAAAACACAGATGGAATAACAAAAAATATAAACATGGTTTCTTTTCAGTTTGACATTAACATGTCAACACCTACAGTAAAAGTAATTATGCAGTATATTTTTTTTTTCAATTGACATCTCTCAGAAATCCCAAAGTTTCATTAAATCTGATCCACTGAATTACAGCAGCACCCTACCATCCCTCAAGTACTGTGCAGTCTCTGGAGCCAGTGAGTGACTGAAGGTGAAGGGTCAAGTCTAGTTGTGGTCCACATATACACCACACCCTTGCTGTATGTTTGAGGTATATGTATGTGCAGATTTCCAAATTTTTAGCCCCAGAGCTTTCCTATTCTGGATTTCATCCCTGGAAACTTTCAAGGTCAGGCTAGATGGGGCTCTGTGCAACCTGATCTAGTTGACGATGCTCCTGCTCACTGCAGAGTGGTTGGACTAGATGACCTCTAAAGGTTCCTTCCAACCCAAACCATTCTATGATACTATGATTAGCAGTTTCTCCCTGCTGTGTGTGTATATACGACAGCTATACTTACAACCCTTCACCAGTACAGGGATATGCAGAGTGTTAGATATAGAATATGCCTTTAAAGAAATTGGATTTGTGTATAATTTAGCAAAGAACAAGAAGTGAAAGCTAAATCTTTACCTTGGAATCACACTCTATGGGTTGCTTGCATTCTTCACAGGAGTTGGCAAACAGGCTGTCATAACATGTAACACAATAAGCGTTTTCTTCTCTCAATGCATACTTCCTCCCACGAAGAGACTGCAGGCAGTAATGACAGTCTGTGTGATTGCTGGTCATTCTGGTGGAGCTCTCCACACGATCTAGAAAGACAGAAAATAATGTAATTCAGTGGATGACTGTTTGCTTGCTCAAATAATAAGCAATGCTGCTTTACTGGTGAAAGTCAGGACAGCAGTTACTTGGTCATTTGCAGTGCCCTGGATGGAACATGCTGGGCTGTTCCATAATAAAACAGTAATCTTAACAACACATCCTGTGTATTGTATTACCTACATAACAGGGATCAAGAAGGTTGCTTCAGTTTAATCTAATGGTAATTACACTGACAGGTCAGATACCTGAAAATGAAGCCATCTTCACATTCTCTACGTACAACTACTGGCATTATGAGCATTATGTACTGGATTGTGAGGCATGGTTTATCCAGAAATCAGGGAGTAGAGATAGAAGCAATAGCTCAGAAATTAAGGTTAAAAGGCCAAAGAGAAGTGGTAAGCACTTTATAGTGTGTTCCTGGCTTTCTCTTGCCATTCCTGTTTTTCTGTTCATCCTTTCCTTTTCAAAATACCTTCACCTCTACCTGACCAAACAGAAGGAGGAAAAGAGACTCCAAGCTATATGGCTGTTTTTTGAATAATCCCAGCTGTGCTGCTAACATTTGATAGCAATGTAAGGTGACACAAATACTTCTGGATAGCAAAAGAGCAAAATATAAAAAGAAATAAAACAAATCATAACTCTAACAAAATCATAACTCAAAGCAAATTTCCCTTGTTGTTATTGGAAAAGGTTGTCTTTTCTTACATATTTCTGTATTGCCAGGTTCCATGTTGGTAGTGCCAAAATACTATGAGATAGATTATATTTCTGTGCCAGACAAGTTCAGGAAATACCACAAATCTATTGAGAGCCAGTTGTACAAATTTCCCATCCTTCCTAAAGAGGCTTGGATAAGGATATAAACCTCAGCTGCTTATAGATCTGCAATGCTGAACATTTTAAGGATTGTAGAGATGAAGACTTATTTCAGTCTTTTAGTTGCTGGTTGGATTATCAGAACTTTGCTAAAATTGGGTCTTGATTCCTGGGAATGAAGGAAGAAGAATCCAGAAAGTTCCCAGTGAACCAAACCCAGAAACATCTGCTGGACTCATTGGATTGCACTCTTCATTAAATTCATTGAGTGTTGCTGCAGTCAGTGCCAGCAATCATAAATTTTAGAGGATTTCAGAACAACCAGGGAAGGCCTCCTAAAATATTTACATATCAGTGACTTTGGGCAGCTGAAATCTTTTACACTTTTAAAAACAGTACAAATCAGTTTATCTTAACCAGATGCAAAGCCTGAGAGTAAGGAAGAGAAGCATATGAAGAAGATTTAAAGGGATACTTGCCATCATAGAGCTTACATCTAGTCCATTTGGAATTACTCCCTCATAATTGTTTTTATACATTCATGACCTGTCTTATATCCATGGTTCAGTTTTAAACAGGCATTTCATCTTTTTCTGGGTTTCTGCTTTGTGAGATGTAATTCAAAATGATTATTTGAACTATGAGAAAGAACAATTGCTGCATGTCTCCACTGGCACCTATGCATAAGGTCAGACTTTTATGAATCCATTCCTGAAGTGATAGTAGCAAGACAGTGAAAAGGGGGCAGGGAGAGAGCCTACAATGCTTATGTCGGACCAAAAGTAATGACTTGTTTGTTTGGCACAAGCTATGGAAAACTTGTTCTTCCTGTAAATTGAAAATCTTTTGAGTTGATTTACTGTATTTCTGACTGCCCTAAATCTTTGTGCTAGCCAAGACAGGGTGTAGTAAGGAAGTCAGATAATCTGTAATGCAGATCAGTGGGAAATATGCTTGCTTAAAAATATTACAGATGTGTTTTATGTGATATCCTTGGAATAATAGTGTAACAGGGCTTGAATCTGGACTTCCATTTCCTTAAGATCAAACAGAGGTTTGAATGTGAAACAAATTAACCTGTGTATATGAGAAAATGTTATCCATCAGCTTATACATTTATACAACATGACATATAAAACCCAGACATAATGCAGTAATTCAGTGCACGATCACTACATAATCATCACCAAAATCAAGGTTAAAGTTTGTTCATTTTCTTCTATATTCTGGAAGCAGCATAAATTGGCGGCTAGGGAGACAATCAAGGAATGTTTGTGGTTAACTGGGCTACATATTCAAGGTCAAATGACAGGCTTGAAATGGAGTTTCAGAGGATTTGTTTGTTTTTTTTTTGTGGGAGTTAGAGTTATAAATTGTCTCTGAGGATAACCCTGAGTAGACTACCTTTCTGATCTCCTCCCTGCTGAATTAGTACCTCAGCTTCCTCATACAGTTTCATCTCAGCCTGAAAACAGAGACAGCAAAATCCTAAAAGGGCATGCATGAAGAATTTACATTACCTAGCAAGTTTTTGTTGCACAAAGCTCACCAACAAATAGCATCAGATATCTGCAGATACATGTTTTTCATTTTCATGAATGGCTATAGGTTTTTAAACTATTGAAATCTCTGTAGCCTCAACAATTTTCTTGAAAAAGTGGTTCTCTTGATTATATTTTTTCCCCAAGAAGGCAATCTGTTCCAGGAAGCCCAGGTTATGTGCACATACAAAATCTGCTATTCTAATACCTCAGAACCCCCTAAAAACCTATGCGGATAAGGGACCAAAGTGCTACTACTCCTGTTTTACAAATGACAATAGTTGCTTGAGAACATTAGAAGAGTAGCCCCAGGACCGGAGTCAAAGCCTGGGGATGTCCTTGAGCTGCTTCTCTAGTAAAATGCACAAATCACCCAAGGCTTTGCTTCAGAGAAAGTCTTCAGAGTTTGACCATGATGATATAAGACCATAATTGGTAATGAAGCAGTGATGATATGAAAAAGAATGATGATTTTTGCAAATCTCTGGGCAAAGGTCTAGGTAACCTTTGTGAACTACTTTTACTCTTAGACAATGCACCAAAAAAGGTGAATCTCACCTCCCTCAGCACCACTTACCCTTGCTCCAATAAATAAGTAATGGTACGAGCACCACGTAGTTAAGTAGAATGTTTTTCTTGTGCTTTGATCCTAATCTCTAGAGAAATATGTTTACTTTAAGTTTGCTGGAAGCTAGACTTTGTGTTTTGAAGGTCAGTTAAGAAATCTCTGGAGGGTTGATGCTATTCACTCTCATGGAATGAAACGCTGACTCCAGCATTCCAGCTGCTAACTTTTGTCCTAGGCACAGGGAAAGACTGTGATGCCTTCATTCCTTGGGAAAAGGGGCTTTTGTTATCTAAATTGGAACAAAGCTAAGTATCATTGATTTTTATGTATCTATAGTAGGCATGGATATGTGATACCATTTGTACTGTTAGAATATTCCAAGGGGGGCACAGAGAGATGTTGCAAAATATGTGAGGATACTGCAACTGGAGTCCCTGGGGTCAGATTTGAGAATGTAGCAGTTGTATGGTATGAATTATAAAGCAGATGAAAATAAAACAACAGAGCTGGCTAGTCTGCCTGCTGTTCCAGCAGATTAAGATAGAATTTAGCTACAACATATTAGGAGAGGGACTTTTTGTAGAGTCAAATGGTTTCCTATAATATACAGAGCACTGGAAGACTTCCAGTGAAGAAAGCCATAAGAAAATGATTGTGAAGTTGTGAAACTGGCTAAATGTGGAACCACCAGGAAAGGAGTACTTGTTTTCTCACTGGAGCTAAAAAGGCACAGCCACAATGTTAATATATCTCTTAATAAGTTATCTTGATATTTTCAATAAATGTATGTTAATACTCCCTATGTTACATAAGTATGAAAAGCTCAGAAACATTAATACTATTTAGATGGGAATGAATATACACATGCATGTAAGTATATATATGTAAAAATATTGTATCTTTTGCTTTATGGCATTTCTAACCGACTACTTCCCTAACCTAAATAAGCCTACCATTGAACTGCATATTTTTTTTCCTTAAGAATATACAATGACTTGAATAAGGCTCTCTATTAGAGATACATAAAGAAAGAAAAATGATGGCAAGATAAGTCATTGCAACAACACTGATTGATAAGAAAAATAAATTTATCTATTTTGAGGGGGACACCTCTGCAAGCTGTCCCAAGTATTTCTTTAATTTGCAGTGAAGTACATGTTTTTATGTTGGAACATGGTTTTGCTTATTTGCATGAATTTACTAATTTCATTTTCCCTATTTTGTTTTTTTTTAGTGAGTGCTGCTGAACAATTAATCACATACATTTGCAAAATACATTGGTAACTAAATGCATTAATTACAACTGCATTATAAAGCTAACAGTATTATTATAGGGAAAAAATTCTAACAATATCAATATTTTACAAATAAAAGTTACTAACAAGGTTCTGCAAGGAAATTTTTCCTCATTTCAGAGACCACAGTTTTTTGATTTCTCTGGATGCCTGCAATCCCCCAGAAATTTGTTAGTTAAATGTATGCTGTATTCTCAAGACATGGGCAATACCTTTGCTTTGTCTTTTCCCTCCCTTAGAGTAACTGCAATATTCCCAGCAATACCTTTAATATATACTTGAGAGTTTAATGATATAAGAATTTTTTCTCTTTTAAAAATGGCTAGAGAGGCAATAAGAAACAGGGGCATATGTCACAGGTCAAGTCAAAGCAAGTATCTACAGGAAAGTAGAGACACAGGTGTTAATTTTGAACAAGCTGTTTTGTCTCCGTGGCACAGCAGAGTAATACAAAGTCAGGTCTTGGAAGCATCTGAGTTGGCACAGAGCTCTCACTAGCAAAGTTCAAGTTTAAGCAGCCAGGTTGAATGGCAACCAGGACTGCTGTAACAATCCGATTATACTGCTTCAAGGTTCACAAGTGACATGGTTTTGGTGCACCCTCTAGGCAAAGCTAGAGGCTGATCTGGTAACCGTACCAGACTGTATTGTACTGTGTTTACACACCCCCACGACTACGAGCCAAAAGGACAAGAGCTCTGGCTTAACTAGGGGATGGAGCATCCCAGGAATTCTGTCATTTTCTCCTTA